TATCACACAAACGCCATTTGTAATTCAATGAACAACGACAAAACATGAAGTAACTAATTCAAGCTAATTCTTCGTTCATTAATACAAACATTTGAAATATCTACCTAAAGATGAATGTGATAAAATATACTTTTTATCGCTGCTAAAAAGTCAACTGAAATTAGAAAATGACAGTTTAGCTAAACACACATTCGGTAATTTCTGCATCCTACGGGTCGCTACGATTTGGTTTAACTACGGTTTAACCTTGTTTACGCGTGCGTCTCGCGTGCGGGTAATTTTATCAAACTAATCATGCTTGACGACGCGACGACATAAACATTAAATCAAACGTTGAGCAAGTTGCCCTTAATCTGCCAACATCCTTTTTAAATCCACGAATTATTTTTGAATTGAAAACTTACTTTTATTGCTTGTTAAAACAACTAACTTGCTAAACCAAGAAGTATCAATAAATCGTTGCCGCGAATCCTCCGTTGTCCGTCCATCCGTTTGTCTGTATCTCGTGAACAACCATATTATGTAGATGAAACTTTCACAGACTGTAAAAACCTTGATTACTGATATAGCAACAAATACTGAAAAAGCAAACTACGTGGAATAGTCGTTTGGAACAAAGTTAAAAATAAGCGAAAGTATAAGTATAACTACAGACAATATGCTAACAACTGAGGGTTGTGGCGAAAGAATCTTACAGTGTTTTCGTTTAGTCACCACCCGCCAAGTTCGTACCGTTCAAAAAGGAATTTCGTTCCATAAAAATATAAAATTAAAAAGTCCCATGCCATTATAGAAACATTGTGTGTTATGAAGATACGGAAAATAAAGATTCACTTACACGATAAGGAAGCTGTATTGATTATTATAATGAGATGACTGCTTTTCCCTAAACGTTATCCCTATGAAATGACGAATGATGATTTTCAAATATGAGATCATTGATGCTTTACGCGGGTATTTTTTTTTGTTTTTCTTCTCTTTGCATATCATTATTTATACAAAAGTTTTAAGGAAAATGATACGTGAACAATACGCAAGGAGGAAAATTCGTTATAACTTATAACGAATTTTCCACCTTGCGATTTTTCACGCGAGTTTTATTTTCGGAGACCTTAAAAGCGACGAAAAAAATTAAATCAAAGAAAGAACTTTTCTCTCCCTTTTGGCAGATTTTTACACTTGAAGTATACTATACACGTGCGTTACTTGGATCTAAATGTGTGGGTATTTTTTTGTTTTTCTTTTCCTTGCATTTCATTATTTATACAATAAATTTAAGAATCCCTATGAAATGACGAATAACTATTTTGAAAGATGAGATCATTGATGATTTGCATGAGCATGTTTTTTTGTTTTTCTTTCCTTTGCATATCATTATTTATACATTGTTTTTAAGGAAAATGAAAAGCGCGTGAACAATCGCAAGGCAGAAAATTCGATTTAACTTATAACTTACAACGAATTTTCCGCCTTACGATTGTTTACGCAAGTTTCATTTTTTTTCAACTTTTGTACAAATAATTATATAAAAAGAAAAACATTAAAATTACCCACGCAAATCATCAATGATCTCATCTTTCAAAAAAAAATAAGGAACTTTATATGCACTTAATGTAAAAAAAACACTAAGAAAAATAACTTTGGATCTTTCATAATTTTATACTCTTTAAGAGTATAAAATTAAAACCAATGACCAACCACCAATCAACCTGAACTATTAGCTTAAAAGTTGTGTGTTGTTATATTTCTTACTAATTAACACTCATTTTGTATATTGTATATTTTTGTAGAGAAAATAAAATCTTTTAATATTATATGATAAATAAATATTTCCAACACTCACACCAATTAGCTATATATTATGTACTTAACATAAATAAGTATATTTATATAGAAATACACATTAAACATCCAGGACTGGAGTACAAATGCTCGTATTAATCACACAAACATCAGCCCCCACTGGGATTCGAACCCGGGACCTCTCGAGTCGGCGACACCATGAAACCACTCGGCTTCGGAGGTCGTCAAATAATAAATACCTTTATTGAAATGATTTTACCCTATACTATTTCAGAGTTTAGGACCAAAGAGCATGAATTATCTTTTTTAATTCTTGTACTCGTACACATGTATCATCATCAACATTCTGTAACTGTCCACTGTACTATTGTAGAGACTTTTTACACCTAGCGCCTATAAAACTTCTGAAAAAACTACGTTAGCATCCGAATTTAGGAAAAGCAAAACTTTAGGAAATATTTAAATATTTTCACTCCAAAATCGGAGTTACATTTCTGTAGCGCCGAATGTGCTTAATGCCTTGATCTACATGAGTTTTTTTTTAACTTCCTTCACTGCCTCGGCGAGAAACATTTTAATGTCTTGCCCGTTTATTCGGTACGTGTGATCAAGACATAAATAAAATAAAAATTAACAGCAAAAATTGTGAACCGTATTAGTAGATAGAGAGTTGAATGTAAATTCATTCCCGCATTAGCGACAAACAATTCAACTTGACTTGGTTAAAAATGCACTTTAAACCTAAATATATTACTTTGCAAAGTGTGAATTGGATTTTTTCTTGATTTTAGTTTACCACTAAGTATATTGACACGACTAATATATCTATCTATGCCAAATTTCAGCTTTCCAGTACTACTTATAGCCTCTAAACCACAATTTTGAGCTAAGCTGCGGACGGACGGCAATAGCGAAATATAAGGATTTTTAGTTGCCGTTTAACCCTAAAAAAATTGTCTTTGTATTTTTCTAACTTCGAAAAGTACGAGGTTTTTGAAGTATTTTTTTTTAAGTTTAAATAAAACAAGTTTCAACGGGTTAGACGCACGTTTCGCATCCTTTGCAGGAATGCGTCTTCAGAATAATGTTTTTAAGTTTGTCGAAAAGCGCTAGTTCGCTAGCGGTATTGTATGTCTTTTTCTTCATTTCGTTAATTTTATTTTGGTTGCAATTTAGATTTCAGTAGATAAATCTGTTTATAGAAATTAATCTGTTAATTTCAAATTTTCATGGTTTCGTTTTAAAGAAATCAATCGGCTTTTACTTTTCGTGAATATGCGTTTATTAACTGTACGTGAAAATTATTATCCAACTGAAAATCATATTTTTATAATTTAAAATCAAGCAGAGTTTAGATTAGCATTTAAAATCCATCATATTTTCTAAAAATCATCCTATTAATAAGTTACATAGAGTGCCTTTACTTCACGAATTAGAAGTCACTTAAGCGAAAATCAATCGGCCCGCCTTGCAGTTTTTATCAAGCAAACATCTAATCATACACCAAATAGAGGGGCATAAGCGGCATTGGTTCAAAAAACACCACAATGTATGTCGCATCAGCGTTTTGAATAATAAAAACTAAACAAAAAATTGCTTAAACGCCAAAAAAGTACTTAAACCTTCACATATAAACAGGTAGACGCAGAAAAAAAACTAATTCAAATGATATAATAATTCATTTTCGATCAAAGTGGCGTATAAGCGATTTTGCCTTTCCACTGTCGAGATATTGTAATATTTCTTTTTTCTAAAATACTAATGTACACTAGAGTTGTTTATTTTGCCCGTCATTGCTTTTTTTTCTAAATGGATTCGCACGGTTTGTGCCTTTAGCCAATGTCAAGTGTTAAAATGTTTACTAATATAATAGCACTCGTGGTCAAAGTAATAAATCAAGTCAAAGTAAGTGGCAGTCAAGTCAATCCCCCTTTCCCTATGTTTCAGTAAAAGTGTGGAGATTTACTGGAACCTCCCCGTGGACTTCTTGAAGGAACGTCGAAAGACACTTTCCGCTATTTTGTTTCACTTGACAGCACTTTTGCATGTTCCCGAACACTTAGCGGTTAATAATCCACCAATATTAGACACTAACATCCGCCACGACACAATTTTTAACAAGAAAAATAAAACTGTTAAAGTGATCCCGAGTCCCGATCCCGCCAAAACCCCCCGTCGTTGCTTGTAAACATGAAAATAATAGGTGTTTTTTTTAAGTTTCAGTTTCTAAGGATAGGGGTTTTAGAAAGATTATAGAATGGCAACCTTCCAGTATCCAATACCCTTAGTATGAGTTTGAGCTCACGAAAACTATCATAGTTTACGTAATTGTAAATTATGTTTCTATGTCCATTTTGGCGAAAAGTAACCAAATAAACTTAAAATTTAAGAAGATACAAATGATTTAATGATAGAATTTAAACACTGTTTATATGTATTGATACGTAAACAATAAAATCTACGAATGCGAGCTCACGAAAACTATCATAGTTTTCGTAATTGTAAAACTCGTACTAAGGGTACAGTATGGTTTTCGGTCTATATCTTATGCGGTATTAATGTGGTCATTGAGGTCTGTAGTTATGGGAGTAATATCTAAACATTTTCGTTACCTACTCTCGTTCTGCAAAAACGCTTTACGAATTCCGCAAATTATTTCAAAAATGACCAGATGTTATGTCGGTGTTTGTTGTCTCTTATCCTATGACTGGGAGTGTTAGTAAAACATAGAATGCGCCATGTACTAATTATTTCGTACCAACGAACAGATTAGGAAATTACGGGATGAGTTCGAGAACCGTCAGTTTTAATTTCAGGTTAAAAAGTAAACGTTGACATTGTGACGAAGGAGAGAACGAAGCCCTAATAATAGAAATCTAAGTTACCTTTTAGGATCCGTAGCCAAAAAAAAATCATATTCGTTGCTTTTACCCGCAAGCGATCATAATTATGCCCTTAAAATGATCCAAATAAAAATTTAGGATTAAATGTCCTGTGTGAATAACAAGAAAATGATCTATTAGCGGTTAGACCACACATTAAATGCGATTCAGATTTGGCTTAACATTAAAAAAAATACGATACGGCTTTTGTTTTAATTTAAAATACTCAAAACAAAATATGGCCTAAAGATTTTATTACCTATGAGTATTAAGATTTGGCGTCAATACATGCGGCTTAAAAAAAGATTGTATTACCTGCGAGAAGACCAAGAAAGCGGTGGGTATAGCAGCCAGACCACAGAGTAAATAGAATAGGACCACATGCCAGTGGCCAGTCCTCGTGGCCAGCTCTGCAGCCTCATCGAGCTCCTTGGCCCAAGAAGACATTGTCACCTTTGCGTTTTAAAAAAATATTTCACCGTCAACACTATCATAAACATCGTTCGAATTCGTTCCGATTATCATTAACATATTTTATAAACATTTACATGTTGTCTGTTGATACATACATGAAGTTACACTTAATTTAATTCTTAAAAATAAATGATTATTATTTCTATTATTGGAAACTATTTGTCTTATTGTTAATTAATTTAGAATGGATTCTTGAGGAAATCTGTAGTAACAACTGTTAAATTTTTAAAATGTTTATTGAGAATGAAGGTCTTATAGGATTTATTACACTTGTTCAGTTAAAAAGTGATCTCGGAAGAAAATTATATTTTAATACAATTTCTAGCGCGCGTCTTTATTCAACCGGCTTTGATACATACTGGATGTACTTAGCTTACATTCAGCGCTTGCGCACGCGTTATAGATTGAAGTCGTCCATTTCAAAGAGCGTTTTGGCGCGTAATACCCTGGTATAAGGATCGGACATCCTTAAAGCGGCTGGGTTGCAATGAGAGAGCATTCAAGGGAACTCCTGCGTCACCTCACATCAATATCACTTATGCGACAGGTTCCTACCTTTTTAGAAAGAAGGTCAAAGGGCGTATGATCGGGTGGTTCAAATATATGAAGAAGAATAACATAGTTAGCCATCATTGGGTAATAAGTTTATAGTATTAGATTTGTTGTTTTTGTCCGAGTGCATACTAATTGAACACCTTATTTCCAGGTCATAAGAGCGAAGATAGTATAGCAAATGTTAGTGGTATCACGCGATCGACAGTACTTCTCATAATCTTGTGGTGATCGTTTTAGCAATCAGTATATTTTACAATTGTACTTAGATTGAAATTCAGAAAATTTTCATGTGCTCTACTTTTGCCCTCAATTTTAGTCTCTTTGATTAAAATTTTTCGATTTTTTTCCTTAAATTAATTTTGCGAAAAATGTCTTCACGTTGACTCTCTAAATTGTGCAATTATGAAACCTTAACAATTTTAATTGTTATAATAAAACTACTTTTAGGAGCTAAAGAAAATATTACTAGGAAAAATTCCACGCGGACCAGGCAGCAGACGGGACTCGTAGCATAGGTAATAGTCAGTGCATACCGCCCGGTTAGCGAAGGGTGCGGGTTCGAATCCTGTCTGCTGCTGCCTGTTTTTCTAGTAATATTTTCTTTAGAATTGAACAACGAGCAGTCATATGCTTAAAAAATAGAAATTATAGCTTCTTTTAGGATCTTCGTACTTTAAATAGATAATAATTCCATAATAGATTATTTTTTACAAATATGCGTCGTTTGAGCTTATTATCGCACTATTTTTATTTACCTTATTTTTAAGTTACTTAGGTAACTTATAATTCACGGTGTATAATTAAATTAAGAGAATTTATCCGCTTGCCAGAATCTAACAAAATATTAATTTAATCATAAACGTGTAACCAACAGAGTAACATATGTATGTAGTTACTTTCGCATCTATAATAAAATTATGAGTGTAGCTGTAGATGTTGTTGGTAAATTCCTCCATAACTAATATCCTGCGCCTGCCAGCTGCGTTATCGAAACAGGTTTCGGTTCAATATCCATAATTACAGGGGACCGGTATATTTACTCGATTCCTACGACATTTTACTATTATTAGAATGAGTCCTGTTACTTCTATTAATACAAGTAGACCCATATAATAGAAGTCAAAGACGTGAACTTAATTTAAAAGTAAACTTTAGCTAAACTTGAAAGTTAATATCGACATCTCTTAGTGCGAAGTTGAGTATTTTTTTAAAGAGAAACTTTTTTCCTTCATCATTTTTACCCGGCTGCGCAATGCAAGAGCGCGAAGCGCGACGCGCAGACAGGGTTATGTGTTTAACAGTCTATATATGTATGTTTGTTCCTTTGTGGCACACTAGAGACCAAACGCCTGGACCGATTTTGATGATTCATACATCAATCGATTCGTCTCAATTATGGGAGTGCTACTAAAGATATGATAGTAATTAAAATTCAATATGGGCAAAATTGGGCGCCATATTGTGACGAAGTAAAAAAAATAAGTTTACAAAATATGTCGAGTGGGGTATCACTGTCTAGATAATCAAAAATCATATTTAGGTTTTTAACACTATTTTTCATTTAATATGATTGTTATAATTTTTATTATTTTTAAAGCATGTAACTGCTTGATGTTTAAATCTAAAGAAAATATAACTAGAAAAAATTCCACGCGGACCAGGCAGCAGACGGGACTCGAACCCGCACCCTTCGCAATCCGGGCGAATGCACTGACCAATTATGCTACCGCGGCCCTCACGGACCGCGTCGAAATTCCTTCTAGCTATTCTTAAGCTGCAAGGCAGCGCCATCTCTTCGCATTATAGGTAAACCCACAATGTCAAATGAATACTTTTACAAGTATTAAACATTTGAAAGAAGAAATAGCAATTATAGTTATAATTTTTATTATTTTTAAAGCATGTAACTGCTTGATGTTTAAATCTAAAGAAAATATAACTAGAAAAAATTCCACGCGGACCAGGCAGCAGACGGGACTCGAACCCGCACCCTTCGCAATCCGGGCGAATGCACTGACCAATTATGCTAGCATAATTGGTCAGTGCATTCGCCCGGATTATAATCCTAGCTAGCATAATTGGTCAGTGCATTCGCCCGGATTGCGAAGGGTGCGGGTTCGAGTCCCGTCTGCTGCCTGGTCCGCGTGGAATTTTTTCTAGTTATATTTTCTTTAGATTTAAACATCAAGCAGTTACATGCTTTAAAAATAATAAAAATTATAACTATAATTGCTATTTCTTCTTTCAAATGTTTAATACTTGTAAAAGTATTCATTTGACATTGTGGGTTTACCTATAATGCGAAGAGATGGCGCTGCCTTGCAGCTTAAGAATAGCTAGAAGGAATTTCGACGCGGTCCGTGAGGGCCGCGGTAGCATAATTGGTCAGTGCATTCGCCCGGATTGCGAAGGGTGCGGGTTCGAGTCCCGTCTGCTGCCTGGTCCGCGTGGAATTTTTTCTAGTTATATTTTCTTTAGATTTAAACATCAAGCAGTTACATGCTTTAAAAATAATAAAAATTATAACTATAATTGCTATTTCTTCTTTCAAATGTTTAATACTTGTAAAAGTATTCATTTGACATTGTGGGTTTACCTATAATGCGAAGAGATGGCGCTGCCTTGCAGCTTAAGAATAGCTAGAAGGAATTTCGACGCGGTCCGTGAGGGCCGCGGTAGCATAATTGGTCAGTGCATTCGCCCGGATTGCGAAGGGTGCGGGTTCGAGTCCCGTCTGCTGCCTGGTCCGCGTGGAATTTTTTCTATTTATATTTTCTTTAGATTTAAACATCAAGCAGTTACATGCTTTAAAAATAATAAAAATTATAACTATAATTGCTATTTCTTCTTTCAAATGTTTAATACTTGTAAAAGTATTAATTTGACATTGTGGGTTTACCTATAATGCGAAGAGATGGCGCTGCCTTGCAGCTTAAGAATAGCTAGAAGGAATTTCGACGCGGTCCGTGAGGGCCGCGGTAGCATAATTGGTCAGTGCATTCGCCCGGATTGCGAAGGGTGCGGGTTCGAGTCCCGTCTGCTGCCTGGTCCGCGTGGAATTTTTTCTAGTTATATTTTCTTTAGATTTAAACATCAAGCAGTTACATGCTTTAAAAATAATAAAAATTATAACTATAATTGCTATTTCTTCTTTCAAATGTTTAATACTTGTAAAAGTATTCATTTGACATTGTGGGTTTACCTATAATGCGAAGAGATGGCGCTGCCTTGCAGCTTAAGAATAGCTAGAAGGAATTTCGACGCGGTCCGTGAGGGCCGCGGTAGCATAATTGGTCAGTGCATTCGCCCGGATTGCGAAGGGTGCGGGTTCGAGTCCCGTCTGCTGCCTGGTCCGCGTGGAATTTTTTCTAGTTATATTTTCTTTAGATTTTCTTTAGATTTAATATGATTGTTTAGGATCTACAACGCTTTCAAGTTGCTTTTAATTTCGATCTTACGTTTGTATGGATCTTTGTTACTCTTTCACCTAAAAAATACTGAATGGATTTTAATGAAACTTAACAGTAATATAGCTCATATATGATAATTACATATATATAATAATTTATGTAGTTATTGAGTGAATTTGCCAATATATAACTATAAGTGTCACATAAGACGGAAAAAAATCTCCCATCTGCGTGCCATTTTGGCCTGCACTGCAAAAACAATAAAAGTTACATGAATATAATGTAGAATGAAAATGTATCTCTTAAATAGTTCTAAAAAAAAGTCCGTGACACATATATCTATTTTTAATGTGTAAGTCATTACCGCTTAAATAGTGAATCAAAACTAAAATATTATTTGATATCTATTTCCAAAATGCACATGTTGTATTAAGAAATCCTTTTTTTTTTAAAACAAATACTTTTATCGCTTTTGATATTTAAAGACGATAAACTTTGCTTTTTACACTATGTCAGTTCGACAAATATTTAAAAAGTTACAACGATAACAAAGTGATAGTGTGGTGTACTATGTAAAAGAAAAAAGTAAATTTAAAAAATCAAAAAACCCGACTGCTTAATTATACTTCAAATAAAAACTGAAAAGAAAAAAACAAGTCCAGTAGTCTATAATTCTGTTAATAAGGAAGAAAGCTACTTTAACAGTCGGGACCCATTAGATATTCAAAGAATACATAATATTTTTCAACAGTGGGTCCCGACTGTTAAAGTAGCTTTGTTCCTTATTAACAGAATTATAGACTACTGGACTTGTTTTTTTCTTTTCAGTTATTATTTGAAGTATAATTAAGCAGTCGGGTTTTTTGATTTTTTAAATTTACCTTTTTTATTACATAAAATACTTGCAGACAGCTACAGAAGATTCTGAAACAGTTACCTAGCTTATTGCCAATATTAAAACATCCCAAGTCCCCAATAACCACAATATCATCCAAATGGATGATATAATTTTGTGCTTAATTTCATATTAACACTTCTTCGCTTTTCCGATCCCTTCAGCGCAAAGGGTTTACTCATTAGACAGCCACAATTTTTACTTCTGAATGTACACAGATAGCACATCTGTAAAAATCAAAAAAAGAATAATGTCATTCACGCGCGTTTCACTACCACAGCGCCGAAACTTTTCATGAATTTTAGGTTCTAAGTTCCACATATAGCAATTTTTCTAAATCTGAATTTAACAAAAACTAGATTCATCCCATACAATGATGTCAAATTGACATAGCGTTTTGATATCTTTCTATGGGATATAATCTAGTTTTAGTTGAATCCAGATTCAGCGAATTTGCAGCAAGTGGGCCTTAGAACGCTCAATGTATTCATAACGCCGACTCTGCCTGACTAAAACTCTCTAGCAGGGATGCCTCTGACCATAAAGGCTAAGTTTACACTAGGGCTTATTGTATGGGAAGATAATCTATTTGGATCGATCAATCTCTTTGGTAGGTTAATATTATACACTCCCGGACACCTAAATGGAGCCACCTTGATTTTTTTGGTTTGGAGTACTGTAACTTATAAAAGATGTATGTAGATGGAAAATGTTTTGATGCAGTTTTGGAGCTGGTATACTCATCATTCATTTAGAGTGCCACTGTTCTAAATTTGAACTACAGTTTATTAAAAAAAATCGAGTTACGTTGAAACAAGTCCATATTTGCTGTTTTCAAGGAAAAAATTCTAATCGATTACATGAAAAGAAATGTTTATTTAGTAACTTGTATTGCCTCCCAGTGCATTTATGACAGCTCTCATATGGTTTGGCATAGAATTAATCAATGTCGTTATGACATGTTGAGGAATGTCCTCCCATTCTTCCAAAATTACATTTT